CAGCATGTCTATGTCCCTTACTGGTCAACAAGTTATTGTAAATAGGAGACAGGTTAAATCTGATACCTCCTTCACGGTTCAGAGAGGGTGAAAATTTTTTAACAAAAATCGCTTCCTTAACACTGGGCGAGGAATGTGCCTTGCTCATTCACATTGAAGGTGTTAGGTCCTATTCTTGCCTTTTGGTCACTTTTCCTAACCAAATGGCTTGAGCTGCAGGAAGGAGGGAAAATGCTAGATTGCTCTTTAATAACTCATGAACTTTTACTAGACAACTGAATGTGACATCGAATTTAGCTGGTCTGGAGTGTGTTTTTGGACTTTTTTTTTTTTTTTTTTTTTTAGAATTGATATAGCAGGCCATACAAATCACCAGTCGGAACCGGATTTTTCTTTATCAAAAAGATCGATACTACAAAGTCTATATGCTCTCGTGTGGATTACACAAGCTTCAATGACTTCACTGTCAAGAATAGGTATTCACTTCCCTTATTGGATTCAGCCTTTGCATCACTACAATCCGCAACGATTTTCACAAAATTAGACTTACGCAGCGCTTGCCCCTTGATAAGGATGAGTGGAAGACTGCTTTCAAGTCGCCCTTGGGGCATTTCCAAAACTTGGTCCTGTCGTTTGGTCTGACCAACGCAACTGCAGTATTCCAGAGTTTTATTAATGATGTACTTTGTGATTTGCTCAATGTCGTTTTTTCGTGGACCTCTATTTTAACTTTCTCCCGGGATCTAAAGGAACACCAACGTGTACGCATAATTTTATGTCTTTTAAAAATAAACTATATGTTAAGGCCAAAAAATGTGAGTTCCACTTCGAGTCAGTTCAGTTTTTAGGTGTCATCATAGAGAAGGGAAAGATGAGAGTTGATCCCTCAAAGACGCAAGCCATGGTGAAATGGTCCACACCCACCACCGGAAAACAGCGATTTCTAGGGTTCATCAACTTTTACCGCCGTTCCATTATAGTCAAGGAGCTGCCCCTCAAACATGACTTACTTCTATTAAGACCCCATTTAAATGGAACTTGAGTGCTGAGACCGCATTTCATGACCTGTTCTGAATCACCCAAACCCAGGAATTCCCTCCATCGTGGAAGTGGATGCTCTCGTTGACTCAGCCCAGCCGAAGTAAACTACGACGTGGGAAATCGAATACTTTTGGCAATGTGCAGCTGAAACATGTAGCCTTTAACATAACATTTTTTAGAACATTATAATAATTATGGCCTATACACTATATGTTTTTTTTTGGGGGGGGGTGATGGACAATCTGCCCCCCGTGATGCAGCCCAAGCTTTTGTCCTTAAAGTCAAGTGAAAAATGTGGGCGTGGGCTGGATTCATCTGATTAATTATCATGATTACACAAACGTGAGATTAATCCAAAAACTGTGTTTCGACTATCAGGGCAGATAGAACACATCGAAAAGAGAATATTTGCCTTTTTTTTCTCTTTGTTTTTTTACTTTTACTTTTATACTTTAAGTAGTTTTACATTTTAAGTAAAAAGCTGCAGTTGACACTTCAACTTCTACTGAAGTCTTTTTAAATCCCAATATGCTATGTTTTTCTTCTTTCTTCTTTCTACCCACAATCTTGCTGCTGTAGGCTGTAAATTTCCCCAGTGTGGGACAAATAAAGGATATCTTATCTTATCTATATTTCTACTTGAGTAACTAAGATAAATACTTTTGACACTTCTGCAGTCACGGTGTACAAAATCATATGCATGACCAAAAGACAAGCATGACACTTCTTTGGAGTTCATTTCAAAGATCTGTAAACTGAATAATCTCGATAATCTCCCTGATCCTACGCTGGTTCTTGTTGTTTTCAGTGTGAATGATTCTGGCCCTTTTCTAGTCCGTAATGTGGTTTTTCCTCTTGAGTCACGCCTTCATTGAACATCAGCTGATAAAGACAAGTCGCACACCATCATGTGACACTCTGAAGAAGGTGAAAGACTTCCGCACAAACTTAAAAAAAAGAAAAGAAACTTGTCTGAGATAAAATTTATTAACAGAATTTATTATCTGTCTACTGTTGACATAGCAGAAAACAGAATGCTACAGGGTAAAAACACAAACCAAAGAGGCCGATGTCAACACGATAGTTCAGCCTGAGAGGGTAATCGGGAGAGTTTGGAGGGGTCTCAATTCTGCTAAAACGAAAAATCCATTATTGCAGTGATGCTATGCTGGACATTAGGCTAGTGGACCAGGATGTTATGGTTCTGGCAGTTCATCCAGAACATGTTTGGAATTACTTTTTCCAATAATTGGTACATAAAACAGGCAAACTCATTTGCTGCCAAATCAAATGAGCAGTTTAATTTCCCACCTTTCTATGCAAAGGCCAAACATGTTTAGTGCATTTGGTAAAGGATGACTTCTGCTGGCTGATTAGAACAGCTTGACAGATTTGTCAGAGATGCTACGATACATTAGGGGGCTCCATGACCAAGCTTTGTAGATGAGTAGCTCTAACAGCTGACACATTTCATTTTTCTGCTTGTGCTAGTGAAGTGACATTGTGGCACTAATCCCTCAAACCTTCCCAAATCATGTCCTTCATCCAGTAAAAAAGATAAAAAAGGAATTGAAAAAAAAATCACATTGACTGGGGTCAGTCAATGAGTATCCTGCACTTGTGGAGTCGTGGTACATGTTGCTACTTTTCGGGCAGACGGTGCAGGTGCAATTTCTATCAATGGCCTAATCTCGCATTTAAAAAAAAAAAAAAGGTATCTGCCATAATAACTGTGCCGTACAAATGCATGCAAGTGCCTCACTGTAGCAGCCAATGATGGGAAAACCGTTAACACACTCATCCAAAATCTGAGATCATAAATTACATGGTGTAGGTACGTCAGAAAAAAAATTACATATAAATAGAACATATAATTGAAATTTGAGACGGGAATAATATCAGCTGTTAATTTGTTGCTTATATTTTAGCACAAAGATCATTTCAAGCATAATTAAGTCTCAATATAAGTTACCGTATACAAATATTAGGATAAGCAGTTTGGAAAATGGATGGATAGCACGACCATTTCTTGCAAGAGGTCAAGTGGACCTCTTGCGAAAGAGACTCATATAAGAGTCTCATTCGTACACTACGCCCATGTTTGGACTTCCTGAATGGATTAGTGCGTGTGTGTGTGTGTGTGTGTGTGTGTGTGCGTGTGTGTGCGTGTGTGTGCGTGTGTGTGTGTGTGTGTGTGTGTGTGTGT